TTGGACCTGTTGAGAATGTCCTGGACCAGGCCTCATGGGTGGTATCAGCACCTTTTTCCAGGTTTCTCAGGGAACTCAAATGAGACCTGGTCCATGGCAACCAGCAGCCCAGGTGTGCTACAGCTGCATCCCCTCTATGCCACCAGTTTCAAACACCATTAATGCCAGGGCTCCAGTGAAATCATCACATTGTTCCAAGTATCCTGGACAAACTCTGGGAAATCCTTAACATCAGATCAGACCAGGTTTTTAGGTAGGAAACAAGGACCAGGCTGTGACACCCCAAATGTGTGAAAGCCTTGCCTTGGGTGTTTGTTAGACATCTCTGTGCTCTGGCCTGTCTGGGTATGTGGAGAAGGAAAACTGTAAGCCTTTAGGCAACTTTGACAGGACGTGTGCTTTCAGTCTTAATCTGCTGCTGAATTAGTTTTTTTTTATAGATTTGAGTTCTAAATGTTAGGTACCAAAAATTTTCAAAAGTATTGTTTTGGATCTGGCTCTAAGTAGGATGACCTGAGTAATTACAGACCTGTTAGACTGACAGGGATCCCAGGCAAAAGAATAGAATCACTGATACAGGATTTGCTTCAATAATGAATTAAGGAAAAATAATGTAATTAATGCCAATCAACATGGGTTTGCAGCAAATACATTCTGTCACGTTGGTTTGTAATTGCATCAAAAAGATATTAAGTGTGATTACTAAAGGTAATGCATTCAGACACGTGAAGCATGTGACTCGACCACACAACACTGAATCAAGGATACAGATTTATGATACCAAGACCATCTAGTCCCTGGTTAAAGCATTGGTTTAAGGTGTCTCAAAATGTAATTTTAATAGAGGAATTGTAATCACACTTTTTATTGAGATCTTTCTTAGGTTTTTTTCTTGGCTGCATACTACCAAATACTTGTTGGTAGCTTTCAACAAAACATGTAGTCATCACAGTTGCTTGCAAAAAACACAAAGATTGAAGGAATACTTAATAAGGTAGGTGATAGAGAGGGATATCGACCGAAGAGGAGCTCTCTAAGTGATGCTACATCAAAAGGACTAACAGCATCATCCCTGGAAGGATAAACAAATATTAAGCAGGGATGATGATGCTGTAATACTTCTGCTTTCATGCTTTTAGCAACTGGGATGCTCTCTTGAGTTCTGGTGCTTGCTCAAGAATAAAACAAACTAACAGTCTGTTGAACTTCCAGAGAGGATGTTAAGGGTGCTTTGATCACAGCCTGCCATTACCTCTTCAGAAGTGCCTCAAGAACACCTTGCCCTCTGACTTGGCAGTACTAGAAAGTGAAGTTAGATTAAATTAGGGGCAGGGTGAGGTCCCTTCCCACCCAAAGTAATCTGTGATTCGTTTTTGTAACATACAGGCTGTAGTTCAAATTAATCATTGTAGTGTGGTGAAGTGATGTGACCTATTTCATTGGGAAAGCTGGATTGGACAATCACAAAAGTCCAGGTTGTGAACTCCAAGTCCCTGGAGGTATTTGTGCTGCCCACAGTTCCTCTACAGCAAAAAACTTAGAGGATTTAACAGCTTGTTACCTCCTAGGTTATCTGTAGATATGCAAGCAGAGTTTATCCTATTGTGTATTTTTGCCTATAATGACACACAAAAGATGATGAGCTGGGATGATTCACTTGTGACCCTTTACCTGTATGACAACTTCAGAAAATATTATTGCTGACATGTCATTAGTGTTTTAAATGAAAATTTTAGGTTCACTCTGTAAGTGTAGCAAAGTCATGCTGTGATTTTGGTGTCTAAAAAAGAGTCAGGAGCAGCATAGGAAATTTATACAGAGTAAATACTATAGGAAAATGCTGTTCTCTTGGGTTCTTCCTAATGCTGAATTTATATTACAGACTTGAAGGTTCATTGTAGTGATAAAGCCAAATTTCTCCATTAAATATTCTAAGCATTTCTTGGTACAAACATCATGATTAAAAACAATAGCAGTTTATATATACATATCACTCACTCCTGATGTTAATGGGACGTAAAAGCTCTGTATTATTGTGCTATCAAATGTAACCAGGCAGCTTGGAAAAAAAACAACACAGAGAGTGAATATATTTCAACAATGTCTTGCTGTGAAGCTATCAAGGATTAATAGGAGATTCCAGTGTAACGCAGCAAAAGTTTTACTTAGTAGCTGTCTGAAGAGGCTCACTAAACGCTATGAACGGATGGTGTGTCACCCAGTAAGTTCTGGTGCTGATCTCAGTACTAAATCAAGAGAGCAGTGTCTAATGGCTCAGTCTAGCATGGCATCCCAGAAAAGCTGTTGAAATCACTGTTTCTATGGAAATTTCTACAAGGGAAATCCAGGGGGCTGAACAGCATGAACATCTTCATGCAGCAGAATGGGTTTTTAGGGATGTTGCCGAGATGGGTCGTTCTGACTGAGGTGCTGGTGTAAATCGTTCCACGTGGTGGTAAATTAAAAAGCTGATTCTGCATATCAGCACAGGAAACGACCACAAAAGATTGGAACTGGAAGATGAGACGAGAGTGGGAGGAATGAAGTACTTGGCAAGGAGAGAAAAGAGCCAGCAGCTGCTACAGCATGAGTAAAAATTAGTTTGTTTGTTTCCCCATTGTTCAGCTGAATTTGTTCCTGATCCCACGGCTTGGAGAACTCCCTCAGGTGGAGTCACGGGATCAGCGCTGGAATCAAACAGCGTTGCAGTGTGGCATTCCTCCGATTCTGCCTGGGACTCAATTACGAAGAGCAAACACCGGGAATTTGCTCATCCGGTGTCAAGGCTGTCAAGTGACTGAGGGAGATGAAGGTTTAAGTCCACCAGTGCGTTGTTTTTTAAAGGACAGAGAATCCCTGCTGGGCTGTGGCTCGAAGCCATCTGGCTAATTGCATAGGAATTTCCCCGCCGTTTGAAGGTGAAGTGGGGCTAAGTCATGCAGCTTTCTGTCTTGGGCTCAAAGGAAAGGCAACATCCCAACATTAACTATTAAGCCAGCTCGGATGTTGCAATCAGGAGATCAAAGGTCTACAGAGATCTGGAACATCTTATTCAGGGCCTGGGCATCCATCTTAGGTGGATATATACAAATGACAGCTCATATTAAGTGAGAAAGGACCCTACAGTAAGTTTATGAGAGTTTCAAAGCAGATATAAATCCAACGTTACATGCAAAACAATGGTGCTTCCTTCTATTGAAAATCTTTCCTTCCTTTGTCGTGAGCCAAAAGTTTAGCAAAAGTGATGCATGCCAAATTTATTTGCTAAAGTTGGAGTAGATTAAAAAAACAAAAAAAAACAACTGACAAAAACCCCCAGTAGTAGCTAACAAAAGTGACGCATAAGGGATTGTACTGCTCCCAATGTTAAACAGATGAGATAATATCAACATCAGCATTGTCTCAGGAAGCTCTGGATCAGAATCCTGGCCAGCTAAGTTACAAAAAGGCAAGGAACCGGGATTTCACTTAAAATTTTGAGGGTTATCAGGAAAAATGGTTAGGGGAAGGAGAGAAAAATAGCTTTGTATTTACCTTGAGGAGACTTACTTCAACCCGTACAAACTTTCATGGATTATATCCTATAGATAGGTAACAGTGGTGAGGCAGGCCCTGTGCTGATGCAAAGTTCCCTCTGAATTTTCTGCAACCACACGTTGCTGGAGGCTGAATTTGTGTCCCTAATGAGAGTTTCTACTTTGTCTTCCACCTGCAAGTATGCAGGAAGGCAGTGGGGTGTCAGATCAGTGTGCTGAAGGAGAACAGCACTGCTGCACATATATACATTATTTAGTGTAACAGGGACTTCTTAATAGTAACTTTTAGCTAGTACTGCAAAACAGTTAAATTCATAATGTATCAGGTCAGAGGAACATCAAGACACTGATTGGGGTGGGGGTGTATTTTTTTTTAAAGCAGTGCTGAATAAAAATAAACTTCCACGTGAAAAGTATTTTTAAATAACATTGAATAGCTGCAAATAAAACACTTAAAATCAGATCAACTGCCTAAGGATTGTCTCCTTGCTTAATTCCATTTTAACTGTACTAACAAAGGGACTACACCTGTCTGAAAACAAGCAAAGATGTTTCAACACATCTTTTATCACAGCAAACACGCTGGATTGGTTTTTCCTTCAGAAATTATTGATCTTTTTTTTTTATTTGCACTTTTAAAGAAAAGCTTATCTTGCCTGTAGAGAAGTTCAGTCTGAAAGGGGAAGTGATGAGGAATCTGCAAGCAGCTCGAGAGCACCTGCTGGAATGTAAACAGTTTGTGCAGATTTACTGCAGGCATCCCTGTGCACCCTGCCTTTAGCAGCAGGACACACCAACGCTTTGCTTTAGAAAAATATGAATAGTTTCTGGTTTTTTTGGCAGATTCCAGATGAGACGAAGTTGGAGACTAGTCCCATCTCTCATGTGGATCACTGATGCCTGCAGCATCCCAGCTTTGGTAACAAACACCAGCCAAACCCCGTAAGAAAAGTGCCTGAGGATGAACAACATTCAAAAGGAAGCTGTGCTGGATGCTGTGAATGGGGAGTGCCATTTTGCACTCTGTGCTTCTCGCCGCTGCTGAGCCACAAAAGAAAGCATGATGCTATTTTAGCCAGCTATTTAGGCCCATGAATAATTCCACTGACTTATTAAGTTTTCACAGAAACTTTAAAAGTTTTAAAGTACAGTTAATGTGTACCCACGTGCGTTTGCTGCGGCCAGGACCATTTAATTTCTAAGCAACGTCTATATTCTAAAACGTCATTTAAGGCTGTATGTGACCCCTTTCTCACAAAAAACACCCCGCAACAAACTAAAAACAAACAAACAAAAAAATCCCCATCCCCTTCCAGTATCACGTTAGCACGAAAATTTCACACCCCGCAACTCGGCTGCCCGTTGTTAATAGACAGGACACCGCCTTATATAAAATTACACTCCTTTATCCAAAATTACAATAATTAGTTGCCGTGCCCATGCTGGAAGTGGAAACCCCAGCGAAATTTAGAACAGGAACCGTCTACGCTCATTTCCCAAGGTATACTTTTGGGGAGGGCAGATGATCGGCGGGGGCATTTTCAGGCGCTTCCTGGAGAAGTTGCAAGAACCCCGCCGCGAAGCGGGGATGCCGGGGGGCTGAGGGACCTGCGGAGGATCGTGCCGGGGTGCCCGCAGGCTGAGCAGCGGCACCAGGCAACCGAAACGCGCCTTTCCCGGAGGGCGGGAGGGCGGGAAGCGAGGCAGTTTCGGGAAGCCGCGTCCCCCTCCCCTCTCCGCCCCCCGCCCGAGCCCGGACAGCGGCGGGGGCGGCCTCGGGGAGCCGGCCCGGGGGAGGAGCGGAGCGGCGCGGAGCGGAGCGGAGCCGCACGGCGCGGCCGCTCCGCCAGCCCGGCCGGCTCTGCGGGGAGGCGGCTGCCCCAGCGGGGCCGCCCCCGCGCCGCCGGGAAGATGGATGGGCACGTCCTGGGATGGATCGTCCTCCTGTGGATCGCAGGTAGAGGCGCGGGTGGCCCCGACGTCCCCACGCCGTGCCCAGCCCGCCGGGCTCCGCGGCGAAAACAGGGGGGGGTGGTGGTGTGGTTTGGGGAGATGCTTCGGAAGGAGCCGGCGTTGGGCCGGGAGCTGCTCGGGGCCGTCCCGCGGTGCAGTTTGCGGAGACTTGGCGAGAGGGCTGGGAATGGGGGGCAGCCGGTGCCTCCCGCCCGGCCGGGGCGCGGGGCAGGTCCGGGCGGCCCCGGCGCTTCTTTTCTCTTCTCTTCTCCCCGCTTGGGCCCCGCTCGCCGCGGGGAAGGCGGCCCGGGGGTGTCGGAGCGTCCTTGGCCGCCGTGAGAGAGGGATGGCGATGAACCCCCGGCTCCCACCGCCCGCCCGTGCCGTGCCGTGCCGTGCCGGGAACAATTGCAGGAACTTCTCCTTCAGCCGGTGTCCTGACCGCACATGCCGTCTCAACGGAGGTGTGAGAGGAGGGGGCTGTCCTGCCTCTGGCCCGGCTTCCAGAGGGCAGGGTTCTCGGGGGGCCTTCCCGTGACGGTGCAGTTCGCCCAGGCCTTTGTGAGCGCAGGACGGGATTGCCCCCCAGCCCAGCTCGCCGCCACCGCTCGGCTCCCGAAAAGCTCGGGCAAGTCCCCCCCTGGGGCAGGGGAGCCGGAGAGGCGAGCAGAGAGGGCTCAGTGATGGGAAAGGGCAGGGGGGACAAGCTGGAAAGGAGCTGAGTCTGAGAGCTGGGCAGCGAGGAGAGGAGAGGGAAGGGATTCCAGCAGGGTGAGAGCGGCGGGGCAGCCGGGAACCGGGGGGAAAGAGAAAGCCGTGTCAGGTCAGGAGCAAGATCTGCCTCCTGTGAGCCGGTGCAGCAGCCAGGAGCAGCAGGCTATAGGAAAAGCTGCAGTAGGATGACTTAGCCAGGCAAGCTGGTTACAGGCTGGAAGAAGAAACAGACACACTTGGGTTAAGTGGCATATATTTCCCACTGTCACCTATCTATCCCACAAAAAAGACCTCAGCCTCTTCCCTCTTCCTATTCGGATTTAGGATTCACAAGCAGTAAATTCGGCTTTTAGTCATAACACCTCTCTCCCACCACCCACCCACCCCTTTCCTTGCATTTTCACTCTGAGTCATCCTCAACACCGGTGCCTGCCTACTGCTCCCTTCCAGGGTTTCACGGCCTCATCTGGGGCTTCAGCAGCTTCCAGCTCATTCTCCCTCCCTTCTCTCCCTTCCTCCTTCCCTGCCATTTGGCTGCTTCCAAATGTATCCCACTTCAGTGAGTTGGTCTGGAGTGCCAGCGCACCCGCAGCTGCCCCTCCTTTCCCACGAGCCATAGTGGTGTGCTGATACACAGCATCCAAGGGCCGGCAAAGGAGTACGGGGTGTAGCCAAACGTGACATTACATTCCTCCCTCTTTCTAAAGAGCTTCTTTATCTCGTCATGTCAGGCTAATCAGGACTTTTTTATCAAGCTAAAAGACCGGGCTGTTGACACTTTTCTCCTTCCACTGAGGGCAGTCCACGATTCCTGGCAGCGAGCACTGTTTGGAGCATGCAGGGTCAGTGCAGAGGGAGAGGTACCGCTGCAGTGGGAAGACCTTCCAGTTTCCTCTAGCCCTGTGGTTTCGAGACAGGACTGCGTGCTGCTGGTGCTGTGGAGAGCTGGCAGGCACAGGCTTCCGGCAGGCAACAGGTTATCCACAGCTGTGTGCTGAGGGATGGAGGTGCTCAGTGCTCGCCCGCTCCCCGCCAGCCTCCAGCCGCTGCTGCCCAGCCATAAATCAGGGGCTGATGTCCTTTTTCACAGCCGACAGAAAGCAGATAAGCAAAGATGTGTGAGTGTGTGCGTGCGTGTGTGCACAGAAAAGGGGCTAGCAAACATGGATTCAAGATTTTCCTCTCCCCAGTGGCTGTGCAAAGGAATGAAAGGTCGGCATCAAGGTAAGGAGCCCTAATCCAGCCACAGTGGTACACTGCACTCTGGGGAAGAGTAGTGGGGGTTGGGAGGTGGAGGGGCCAGAGTGCAAGATGGGGAAGAAGCAGGGAGACAAAAGGGAGCGCGAAAGAGAAGGCTCTGGTTCCCTTCCCTCCCCTCCTCCCTCCTCGAGGTGGGCTGAGAAATTTCTAATCAGCACTTTCAGTCCCTTTCCTCCCAGCAGCAATTCCTCTCTGTCCTTTGTTTGTCTTTAATTTTTGGCTCTTGCATTTATCTTTTGTTTGGTTTTGCGCATTGTGAGCTCTTAGGGCAATTTCAAAAAAATCCTGTGCGAGGCACAATGGATTTGGTTTGGCTTCTCCCCCTCCTGTCCTGCTCTCCCACGTGCCTGAAGCGAGTGTTTTAATAACAACAGCAAACGGATGAAGAGCAGGTCGTTCTTTATTCCTTCCTGTGAGGTCACACGGGTTAAGATATGTGTGGAACTGTGCTCTCATTCTATAAAAAGAAAATACAATTTGCCAAGTATCCTTATTCCCTGTGTAAAGCCTGTTCTTGTAAATTACCGAGTGCAGCTTGATTCTGGAATGATTCCTCCCCTCGTGTTTACCATTTTCTTATTAATGCTGTAATTTCTAATGCATTTGAAAGAGCATAGTGCTGCGCTGGCGACTGAACTCCAGTTTTAGTACAGAACAAGCAGATCAATTTTTTTCTGCCTCACAACTTGGACTAAGCTTGGAAAAATCACAATTAGAAGACTGTCCATGTTAAAATGGGATCTTTTCTCTCTAATAAGTGCTTTTCCACCAGTAATTTAGCACTCAGTCCCTGTGTACTGTTGCTGTACCTGTTCTTTCCCAGCCACGGTTCAGGAGGGCAGGCAGAGGGAGCACGCTGGAGCACAGTTGTGTCTTTGCTGTTCCTGGCCAGCTGACCAGACTTCTTGGGAAGGCAGGGAAATGGTTGGACTCTTTTACTGGCCTTGATTTAAAGTGTTCATCTGACTTCCCTTGCCTGGCTTTATAGAGCATAGCAAATGTGGCATAACTGGGAAGAAATCTCATGTTTTTCTTACTTTGTATTCCTGTGAGGTCACCTTGAGTGAGACTGGCACCAGTGGAAATCCCAATGCCATCCCAAGGATGGGTATTATGGCTTGGTGCTACAAGGCTTGGAGGGATTCTTCACATTTCTTTTGCTTTGTTCTGAGGCTTCTGATGAGTGATATTTCTGGGAATGATTTCTGGGATGCTGAACCAAGTCTAGATCAGGAGGCATCTGACAACTGTAACAGGCTTCAGACAGCAGTAAGACAGGCTGGGTTTGATCTGGTGTCCAGAGCTGAGATAATTCACCAGAGAGCATTCAGGGTGACTTTTGTGAACGTGTGAAAGGGGCTGTGGTAAGGGAGTGTAAGGAGCACAGGGAAGCTGATGAAGAGAAAGAAGTGAGGAGTAGGGGGTATCTGGAGAGAGCACCACAGAGAATGGGGAAGATCAAAGAATAGTCCAATGCCTACTTTAATCATTTTGTACAGCCTGGGCTGTCCTACATGGAGCGTTTTTGTGTTGAGGTTCTGTGCTGTGAGTGCTGCCTGTGCAAGGCCATGCTCTTCTTCAGCTGCTTTGGATTTTCCCCTTTCCAGGTTAAGAAGCTGAAGAGCTGAAATTCTTGGTTTTGCTATGGAGCTGTTGAAAACAGAACCATGCTTTGACCTCAGCTGCAGCTGACTTGTACAGGCATTGGTTTCTTGCTTCCAAAAAAAGTTGAAAATTAGTGGTCACGTTGCTAAGAGCACAAGTCTAGTAGGAACCAGACCAAGACATCCAGTTAATTTCCCATAAGCACTCGCCACAATCTGATGGTGATGGCTTTTGCTATAAATTGCATGGATTGGATTTAGTCCAACATGAGTAGGCAAGAACCTGTACAATACAATCTCAGTGATCCCACTGTCTCTCCATTCATCTATTCACACATCTTTTTATATTTTCTGACTTTCTGGTCTCAAAGCCCAGATCTTGCCCTTCCTGATTCAAGCTTGATCCACATATGAAAGTATAGATGGTGTGCCAGTATTCAGCAGTGGGGGAGAAAGCACTTTTTGAAATGATGCATAGTATCCAAGGTGCCAAAACCAATGATACTTTTGCCTAACAGTTTATTTTTATTTCTTTATTTTATTTGGGAAGTGGTATAAGCTACCCTCAGGGCACTGTCTCTTACCAGGGAACTGATGCTTTTCTGCCAAAGCCCTGAGGTAAAGTCTAGGAGTAGCTTTCCTCAGGTGCCTGGTTCAGGACCCAGTGACTTCCATTCTCCTGTGTGCACAACTGCCACTCCTGTCAATAAAGGTACCTGAAAATGGGGGATGCAATTTTTGTAATTTCATAGAATCAGCTGTACTACCTCAGGCAAGCAGTAGCATGAGCCAAATAATTGCAAAGAAGGAGATGAGATGCATTAACAGATAGGGAGACCCATGTGACCTGAGGAATAATGTGTGCTGCCTTCCTTCTCTTGGACTCAAGTCTTGTGTGCTCCAGAAGGATGCAGCCTGAGACATGTTCCACTGAACTACAGCATTTGGCTTTGCCTTTACTTCCAGGGTTTGGTGCTTCAGATCAATTTTATTCTAACTACATGATATTTAATACATTATATTTAAGGTCCCCTCCAACCCAAACCATTCTGTGATTCTATTCCTAGAAGCTGTGTGGTGAAGTTAAATCTTCCTGGGATTCATGTCATCTCAGGGAGGCATAGGCTCCTCTGGAGGTCAATGGCAAATCAAAAGCCACAGTTATCACCTCTCACTTGCCTTCTCTCTTGCTCAGGGAAGGGGCTTAGGAAGATCAGGCACACCAGGCTCAAACCTGCCCTTACAAATATCCCCCCTGTAATCGCTTCCTGGAATTTTCTTTAATCACCAGTGAAATGTATTAGTGGTAGCTTGTGTGTAGTGTTGATTGCATAGTTTGAATGCATAATCTGAGGATAGTTCAGGAAAGGAATCAGAGCAAGGAGACAAATGCACATTGCCAATTGAAACAGACAAACCCCATACAATTATATTTCGGAAGTGTGATTATTTTTAAGCTCTTTCTCTGGGAGTGTGTGTGTGTATATATATTTGTACAGACACAGAAAATCATGGATTCTTTTTATTTTCTAAGAGAAAGGATAACTGTGTTTATAAGATGCAATTGATTAATATTTTCAGACCTTTTTCTCTGGGTTTAGGAGAGCAAGAAGGGAGGAAAGCAAAACAGTCATGTAGTCATGAGATTCCCAGGAGCTAGATTTTATTCTTGTTGAACTTGAAACATTGTGAAATTCACAGTGAACAGGTTCCTTCTCTAGAGTGCAGGAATTGCATTTCCGTCATGACTTTGAAGTAAAGGCTAATTTTGCTCTGTCTGCATCAGTCAAAACATAGCACAACACAATTCAGTTTCTTTTTAGTCCTATTTGTATTAAACTAGACAAAGAGCTACCACGGTGCTGTCACTAAGCTTCTCATAATTTTTCACATATTTCACTCTTTTTTTTTTTCTCTGCTCTCTTAACAACTCAGAGTTCTGCCCTCTGATACATCTGAGGCTTTTCTTGTCTTGGCTACACTACATTTTGAGGTCAGCAGTTTCTTCTTGGAGGTGAGGAAACCCTATAATTCCTATGCCTGGACATAACTGATCAGTGTAAAGCCACCATCTTGTCTTCAGGCAGTCAAACATCCTGCTGGCCTTTTTGGTGGACACTCTTACAGCAGTGACATACTACATGAATCAATTCCAGTAATTCTTTTTTGGCAGAGGAAATAACAGGTGTATAATTTCCCAATTCAGCCATATATAATTATATATAATTTGACTTAAATAGATCTAAAGTTTCCTCTGCTCCAGTCTCCCAGTCTGAGGCACTGTGTTGCTCTTAAATGCTATTCCTGGAAAGAATCCGAAAATAATACTTAAGAAGTTAATAAAGAACTTGGGGTAGGATATAGAACTTGCCAGATAATTTTCTGCACATCTCCAAAATGCTTTTTGATAGAAAAAAAATTCCTGTATTTTCCCAAAAGCTGCATTTCTTTTCTTCATATAGACATTCACATGGGGGTAGAGTGGGGAAAGTTAGTCAGATGAGAATTTGCTAAAGCTCAGCTAATCATTTATTAAAGCAGTCCCTGGCTTGCCAAACTCATTAATCTCATTAACAGGGAAGGAGGGCTGTGGTGCATGGTTAGCTGAGAGCACTGTGTTTTCTAAGCAGTGTACTTGGTTCACAAGGGAAAGATTTAAATATTCAGTGTGTCACTGTTTTATCCCTGAAGCTGAGGTAACGTGATGAGTCACTTGATCAGCTCATGCCAGCATGCTAGCTTTGGCCTCACACTGTGAGGGGTCATGGAGCTGCCAGACACAGGTCTGCCTGGACCCATTGGGTTTTCAAGGTTTCTTGCATTCAGGTGCAACCCAGAAGTGTGAATCTCCAGAGAGGAGAGGACTAGGCATCACCACTTGTTTCACCTTGAGAAGGAAGTGGTGGCGTTCCCTTAGTGCCACATGGCCCCTCTGCCTGGTCCCTGGGTAAAGGAAGCCTGGCAGAAATGTCCCAGCTGCCACTTCCTGAATAATCTCTCTGCCTGCGTCTCAGGAAAGTGCAGGAGCTGCCTTTCTGTCCTGCTGTTTCCCTGCCTGTCCTGTGGGAGACCTCAGCTGTGCTTGGTGGTACTCTTGTCTCAGGAAAGTGCAGGAGCTGCCTCATTCCCTGCCTGTCCTGTGGGAGACCTCAGCTGTGCTTGGTGGTACTCTGGAGAACAGGCACACTTCAGTGTTTGGATTTGGGTCCAGGCACTTCTGGCAAAACTGATAATCTCCTGTGCAACTTCCACATGGCACAAGCACAATGTGCATGGTGTCCTGCATTCATTATATGCATAATATAGCATTTCTGTGCAAATGTCAGAGCACCCTTCTGCTCCTCATAGTAGTCCCCAAGGTCAAATCCTGCCTAGATCAGTAACTCTGTTAGTACCAGTGAGCACCTTGCCTCTCTGAAATAAGCTTTCCCCTAGGTTCTGTCCATGCTGGGTTTTCCTCTCCAGCTGGGATTTACAGACTTCATTGTGCTTTACAGTTCACTGCAGACAGTGTATCACTGCAGACAGTGATAACTTGTTGAATTTAATATGCACTGTTTTATCAGCCTCTTCACTTTCCTTTGGTTCTGAATCCTGATCATGCAATCTCTGCTCGCTCTTGCTTTTCAGGTCTGCAGCTGTCTCCAGCTTGACCTTGTCTCTTCATGCCTGCTGTTATACAGTTGATGCATTTATTGCTCTCTGTCTCAGTGCTTTAGTCTATGCCTTTTTTCCCCTCATTCTAAAGATATCTCCTGTCATTTCACTTTCTTTTGCCAATTTCCATCTCCTTTTCATCTCTGCTTTCTGGAGTGGGTGGGTTATTTTTGCTGACTCCATTTCCTCTCTTCTCTACCTCGTTTCTGAATCTCCTGCAACCTGACTGCAGCCCTTGGTACTTATTTTGACCTGGGCTGAGACACCTTCTCCAGCTTCTTCCAGCTGAATGCAAGCTTCCTGATTGTCATCCTGCTTATCATTCTGCTTCTCATATTTGCTCTGATACTTTTATCTTTACTCTTTTTTCTTCTTTCTTGCATTTCCCCTTATCTTTTGCTTCTTGATATCAGGAGGTCTTTCTTTGTCCTCAGTCTTTTAATTCCTCACTAAGCTTCCCCAAGTCCACCAGTCCCTTCTGCAGATGTTGTGTAGACTTTCTCTTCTGCTTTGTTGTCTTGAATGTTTCCTTGTATTCCCTCTTTTTCCCTGTTTCCCTGTATATTCCCTCTTTTCCACCTGCTCTGGGTGAGGGGTGTGGTAACACCAACATTTTCCATATTGGACCCGATTCCCTTTTTCTGGTGCTGTGTGAGTGCTTTCAGACTTTGCTGCCTGCAGCACTAGGAGGAAAGCACCGAAGGGCATGTGGGGGAGTTTTGGCCATATCCCTGTGGGTGGATGGAGTGCCTCACTCTCCAGAAGGCTGACATTGCTCACTGACTCTCTCTCAGCTACACAAGGGTGTAACAGCACTCTCCTGCATCTTCTCTGGGGCCTTAATGCATCAGGTCCAAGCTGCAGCTCTCCTGTCAGCTGCTAGATAAACATTACATGTTGAGATCCCTCTCCTCCCTTGGGAATGTGAAAAACTTGAAGGTTTGGGCCCTTTTTCCCCACACCTCCCACATGGTGCAATTTGTCTCAGTGCTACTTGCCAGCCCTGGGAAGAGCTCTGTGATTTGGATCCACTCCTTCGTGCATCTCTGGAGCTTGGCAGAGCAGGCGGGAATGTGAAAAACTTGAGGGTTTGGGCCCTTTTTCTCCACACCTCCCACGTGGTGCAATTTGTCTCAGTGCTACTTGCCAGCCCTGGGAAGAGCTCTGTGATTTGGATCCACTCCTTCGTGCATCTCTGGAGCTTGGCAGAGCAGGCAGCACTAACTGGGCACCAGTGCAGAATGTGCTGGTCCAGGCACTGTGTGTCGCCTGATCTGTAAAGAGGAGGTGTGGTGCCACTGAAATGGAGAGGGAGGTGACTTATTCTGCAGTGGAATTGTCAGGAACTCAGGATCTGGCTCCTTGGCTGACCTGCTGTACAAGTGGAGCATGGCCATCCCTAAAATACCTCTTCCTTATGTTTGAACCTGCCCCAAAAGCTGTGAATCATCACAGCATTGTGTTAGGGCTTCTACTGCAGAAGGATGCTACATTTGAGCCTTCAGCCCTATCATGCTGTGTTTTTCTTTGTAACTGTAAGGTATGAAAAAGCAAACTTATTTCTGTTGCCAACATCCGTGCTTACATACATTGAGGAGTGTTGCTCCCTAGCACCTGAAACAGATGGACAATTTTATTTATGTGAGGAGAATAATGCTGTGATAAAATGCAGTAGCTTTCTCTTCGAGCAGTGCCAAGGCATATGATACTCATTTTTTTTTTGTCTTTTAGCTGAGGTGGAAGGGTTGCAGGTCACTGTGCCTGAGAAGAAGAAGGTGGCCATGTTATTTCAGCCTGCTCTGCTTCGCTGCCATTTCTCTACTTCTTCCACCCAACCAGCCGTGGTACAGTGGAGGTACAAATCCTACTGCCAGGACCGGATGGGAGAAGCTCTGGGTATGGTGACTTCTGGTTTGCAAACAATGAGCAAGAGGAACCTGGACTGGGATCCCTACCTGGACTGTGTGGACAGCAGGAGGACAGTCCGTGTCGTGGCCTCCAAGCAGGGATCTGCCATCACCATAGGAGACTTCTATAAGGAAAGAGACGTCAGCATTGTCCATGGTAACTCTCCTACCCCAGTGATGCTTGGTGGGGGCTGGAATGGACCCTCAGCAATTTGGGATACTGGAGTCTGGCAGTAATTGTTCACTTGAGTCCCTCAGAAAAGGCTGTGGGAAGGGAGATCTTGTAGGTCAGACATTTAGGATTCAGCCAACCAATCCCAGATCCAAAGATAATTTCCTTTGGCACTTCCCTTCAATTAACTCTAGATCTTCAAATACAGTACCCTTTTTTCCCTTCCATGAAGTGGAAGCTTTTTATTCCTGACTTCTGCATATTGCTGTGTATATAGATTTTCCTTAGCAAAGGGGTGGCAGCCAGAGATACAAATTCAGTCTCTCCATGATAGGTTTTTCTTCCTTGCAAATGCCACTGCTGTTTTCCTAGGTCTGAAATACCAAGATTATCCTACATCTCATGTTTGCTCAGCCACAGACTTCACCAGCTTGCCCTGTCATGAACCCAAACTCACAAAGCCTTGGGCAGAGTGAAAGGAAGAGATTTCTGTGGGGTGAAATCAGGTAGGGTGGAGATGAGGGATGGCAGGGTCCTTAAATATTTTTGTCTGGAAGGCTGTGTGAGGGACCTTGTCTCTCCAAAGTACAAGGTGTCTGACTGACTGGGGAGACCACCTAGCCAGAAGTGGAGACTCCTTGGTGTGGAGAGCATGTGATCAGCCTCACAAGAGGGAGTGTTTTCCTTTGTCTCTGTGAAACCTTTTCACAAAGACTGAGGTGCTATAGAGGAGACAGTCTAAGCCCTTCTTTCATGACACGAATAGTGTTGGGACTGTGCCTTAGGTGACAGGAAGGACAGAGGGACATTAGTGACCCCTTGTGCTCTTGTCACTTGCAGGGTGAGCTGCCTCTGCAGCATTATCTGTTTTCCCACCTACAGCCAGAAGTCCTGACCTGTTGTTTTTTCCTGAATACTGTGATATTCTAGATAAGGTTAACCCTTCTTTTTAGAAAGGAAACGAGATGGATTTGGGGACACAGAGGTGGACTCAGCATGTTCAACACTCCATTCTTCCTGTAAGTGTTGGAGTGAAAACCTGACTTCTCTTTTTTGCCTTCCAGATGCAGACCTGCAAATCGGGAAGCTGATGTGGGGAGACAGTGGCCTCTATTACTGCCTTATTATCACACCAGATGATGTGGAGGGGAAGAATGAAGAATCAGTGGAGCTGCTTGTGCTTGGTGAGGCCTCTTGTCGGGCTGCTTTTTCGGCAGATACCTGATGCATCTTTCCTCCTGCTCTCTTGCTGTCTCTCCATCCCCGTGCACTGTATTACTATGGGTGTAAGAGCTATGTAAAACAGTCCCTGCAGCACTGTCACCATTGCCTTGCACCTTGTGCAGCCATTCACACCTAGGCAAAGTGGGTGGCAAATGCTACCAAACCAGAATAGTAATGTTTACACCCACACTGCTCACACGTTACACAGGCGTAAATGACTGCAGAGGGTGCGGGGCTATGGAAAGGCAGAACCCTTGTTTTTAAGGGACAAAACAAAATACTTGCAGCAAAATGAACACTTGAGACAGAGTCTTTTTAACACCAGACACCCAGAAGACATCAGATCCTGTGATTTTTGCAGTCCTCATCCCACTCTTCTGACCTGTGAGGCTGTCAAGAAGCACTGTGTTGATTGTGTCAGTTTGGGATATTTTTTTGTGTGCCTGATAACACTTGTCCAGTTAGAGGTGCAGTGTCACAGCCATCCTAATCGGTTCTGACCTAATGCTGCCACTAACAGGACCTACCCTCTCTGTGGTGTGTGTGCTTGGCTCTGTTTCTGTTAAGCTCCCTTGAGCAGCGTGCTGAGCAGGATCAGTTCCTTCCCTGTTTGCAGGGCTTGCTTTCAGTGATGGCTTCCATGATACAGCTCACTGTAAAGGTCAGAAAAGCAGCCATTCCAACTAGAGGAGAAAAGCAGAGTGGAATGGACCTTTCAGGGACTTTTGTTGACAAGCCTGGAGCCCAGCTGTAGTACGTCAACCCTAGATACCTCAGGAGACAAGCTGAGTTTTTCCCAACTTACCTCAAGACCTCACCATGGCTCTTTTGTGTACAGACCTGTGCATCCTCTGATGGAAATATGAAAAAGCTTGGGCTGTTTCAACCCTAGATGCCCCAGGAGAGCAAGCTGAGTTTTTCCCAACTTACCTCAAGACCTCACCATGGCTCTTTTGTGTACAGACCTGTGCATCCTCTGATGGAAATATGAAAAAGCTTGGGCTGACAGTGTGTAGGTGATCTGTGGAGGTGTACAATAGAACACATCTGTCAAGCGTTCCCTTGATCTCCTGCCAAAGGTCAGAGTTTAATTGATGTTTATATTTGGAGCTGTGGTTATCATCACCAGGTAAACCAGACTGAATGGGTGAGTGGCTGTCACAGTGCCATTGCCTCCCCTCACCCCTTTAATGTCAGCCAAACAATGGACAGTTGGAGTGGAAGGTCAGAAAGTGGAAGGTCAGTCTGGTCACTCCAGAAAACAGTGTCACATGCCTGTGTAAATCCACAGTGTGACTGTATCATCTGCCACTTAGGCTCAGGAGTCATCTGTGTGAGTTCAGGCGAGGTTATCTCTGCCAGGTGGCAGTGGTAGCTGTTAAAATCCTCTCCTGAGGTCTTGTGTCTCTGTAGTGATGAGCTGCTGAATTTTTGTCCCTTTTTCACCTTCCTGTCTAGGATTTGGTGTCTTCCTCTTGTATATCTACAACTGTGCTCAGACACCAGTGATGAAACAGTACCATGGTAACAGGAAGAATTGGTTTTTCAGTGTGTACAGAAGGCTGTGGGGAGAAAACACAGAAATCCCCTCCTCTGGAGCTGGCTTGATGTCTCTGCTCCCAGTTCATTGTGGTTATGCTGGGGGACACATGTAGTTTGGGCTGCATCACCCTTGACCACATCTGCTTTTCTGTTCTGCCTCTGGGCCTGACCTTGCTCTTGATGCAGCTCTCTGCCAAGTTTGGCAGCAGCATGAGAGCAGACTTGTCGTGGGCTTCCTTCTGCCTCATGCTGTTAGGCAGCTTCTGCATATTGCTTTTCCTGAATAGAGGCAACATTCCAGCTTTTGGTGCAATTCCAGGGTTACCTACCTGTTTTCCTCCTTCCCTCTCTTCCCCTCCCACCTTTTTTGTTTTCCTTCTGCCTTTGCTGTTACTTTTTCTTTGTTTTCCTTTATCTCTCCCTATTGATGGCTAAAGGATGAAGCAGCCAGTGATGAAAATACTGTTTCTTAATATCCTGCATATTCTGGGATATTTTTGTTACATCCCATTGCTTGGAGGGGAACACTGAATACAGATGTATGCTGTAGCAATTTTCCAGTCTTAGGGGACATGTGGTAAAAGGGTTTTGTTTGCTGTTCTGCTGCTCTTTGGGTGGAACCCAGATTCCCTGTTAGAGAGTTTGGAGCAGCAGAGGGATAGTGTGTGAGAGATGCTACGATTCCCAGAGCACATTGCTGTTTGCTCCCTGCTGACAGTGGTCTCTCAGATACAATTTACATTGCTTATTTTGGGGTTGCTGCATGATTTCAGCATAAATTAGAATTTTGTATAGAGCAGAGGTTCTATCCACTCACGTTATCCTTGGGGCGACAGAAAATTCAGAATGGGAAAGGAAATAGGAAAATATCCCTTCTAGTGGTTTCATATTAATGCCAGGATGAAAGGGCAGTTTAATATCATGTTGAAACCATGAAAGGACTGAGAAGCAAAAATGGTAGATATCATACTAATAGCATCAATAAATTAATGGAAGTTTATTTAGTTAAAAGTGCAAGGTCCTGCTTTATACAGTGAATCATATAATGAAAAATTGATGAAAAGGCACTTTATCACGACTTAGAGCAAAATCTAAAACCTGGGCAAATTACAGTATTTATTTTTTTTCCTTAGGAAAGCGATCACAGTTTAGCTAAAAGTGCAGTGTTCTGCTTATATACAGTGAATCATACCACGAAAAATTGATGAAAAGGCACTTTATCATGACTTAGAGCAAAATCTAAAACCTGGGCAAATTACAGTATTTATTTTTTTTCCTTAGGAAAGCGATCACAGAGATCTTCAGTGACCTCTTAAGCAGCCAGGGAGCCTGGATCATGATGGGATTGCATGTTGGGTTTTGTTACCTGGATGTGCCATGTTGACACACAGAGCTGCTGGTCAGTTCTGGGTAGCATCAGAGGATCCCATGTGCTGTCCTCATGTCACAGCTATTTCAGAAAAGCATACAAGCATTTATTTACATCCATTTGTGCTCAGCAAAGCTGATAGGATTTGTAAAGCATACCTAATGTTAGGCATGTGCTTATTATGTACTCTGCTGAAAAGACCATTCAGTAGCTTTTGCTTAGTCAGGGACTTTTACCCTCTCTAAGGGAATCAGTGCTGGTGAGGGAAGAGGAGTAGCAACCTCTGTCTCAGATTGGACATCAGAAGGAATTTCTTCACCTAAAGGTTGGTTAAACATTGGAATGGTCTGCCCAGGGAGGTGTTTAAGGAAAGACTGGATGTGGCACTCAGGTCCGTGGTCTGGTGGTGTTTGGTCACAGGCTGGGCTCGAAGATCTCAGAGGTCTTTTCCAACCTAAAAGACTCTGTGATTCTCTGATATATGTGCATTTTGATGGCATTTGGAATCTCCAAACAGGATGTAGTGTGCTGGAAACTGTATGAACTCTGCTTCTGCTGCAAACCAGTCCAGAACTTAGCAATTCCACATCAGGAATCAAGTGATACTCCCTGCACTTGTGTGTCTTATTAGAAAATGAGAACCTTTGCTGACATTACAGCTGGGCTAATGAATCCCTTTGAAATTTTGTACATTTTAATTTTAAACTTTTTAATGTGATTGAACCTAAAAGGCTGAATCCTAAATTGAAGAAAGTCTACATTTCTGTTGTAGTAGCTGGCAGCTAATGTCCTGCTTCTTGAAACAGAGACAGTGCTATTAATCATATTGTTATTTGTAGCCCCTGTGTATTTCTTTTTTATTTGAGAATGTCAATGGGGTTCAGTAAAGTAATTCATTGCAGCCTTTCTGAAGGGAGCTGCACGTGTACCAGTGCAGGGATGCAGCATGCCTGGAGTAACCTTCAAACCAAAGTAGAGTGCAGTGTCAGTGTCATCCCAGCTTTGTGTCACCAGCTCACATCAGGAAGCAGTCCAGCTTCATTGCATAGAACCCAATAAGCCTTCCCAAGAGACAGAATTTACTAACCAGGTGCAGGGACCTATGGAAGCTGCTACACTGCTCCCTTCCCAAGCTGGAACAGCTACAGAGCAGTGCCTGAACACAGAGTTCAGCACAGCTGGGCACCCTGGAATGCATAGACCTGTGCAAGCTCAGTGATGTTTGCATTCTGAGGTTTTACATAGCTTAGACATGCTTCACAAAACAGTGGCTCCATTCCCTGAGACCTGTCGAGTTTCTGGAAGAGGCCAGAAAGTACTCCACTAATTCCAGCTGTTGGTTTGATGCTTTGGTTAGTGATCTGTGCACTTTGCTAGACAGATATTGCCAGCTTTCTTTTCCATCCAATTCAGCAGCTAATTTTACATAAACTGTGTATCAGTGAAATATTATTTTATGGTTAATCATAGAATCATTAAGATTGGAGAAGACCTTCAAGATCATGGAGTACTTCCTTTGATTGAAGACCACCATCTCAACTAAACCATAGCACTGAATGCCACGTCCAGTTGTTTCTTGAACATTTCCAGGGATGATGACTCCACCACTTCCCTGGGCAGCCCATTCCAGTGCTTAACTACCCTTTCAGTGACAAAATTCTTCCTGATGTCCAACCTGAAGCTGTCCTGGCACAGCTTGATACCATTTCCTCTCATTCTGTCACTTCTTCCCTGGGAGTGGAGGTCGACCCATCTTTCCACACCCTCCTTTCAGGCCATTGTAGAGAGTGGTGAGGTCCCCCCTGAGCCTCCTTTTCTCCAGGTTAAACACCCTCAGCCACTCCTGATCAGACTTGTGCTCCACATCCTTCCCCAGCTCCATTCCCTCCTCTGGACTCACTCCAGCCCCTCAATGCCTTTCTCAGAGTGAGGGGCCCAAACATAAACATAAGACTTGAGGGGCCTCACCAGTGCTGAGTACAGGAGGACAATCCCTGCCCTGCTCCTGCTGGCCACACTCTTCCTGATCCAAACCAGGATGCCATTGGC